CAGAAGATGGAAAGAAAGTAAAAGTAAGTTTATGGAAATTAGTAAACGAATTCTTGGTATACTGTAAGTATCTGTAAGTATAAATTTGATTTTTCAGTGATTAGTATTATAGTACTATATAATATGTGAAGCGTGAATGTTTTCAATATTTCTAATATACTTTTTATTAGCAGTGAAACATGGAGTAACTCAGCATTTACGAGTAGCATATCACGTAGTGAACGAAGTGAAGGAACATATATTTCAGATATCATAACGCCTTTGCTCCGATCAAGTCTAGGGGACCTACTTAATGGTAGTATCTGTTTAAGTATAGCAGAACGCCAGAACCTAGCAAGTAAAGTTCTACAAAACACAAAGGTAGTCGAAGAATGAATGGGAAAGAAACCGATATTATGGGGCTGTTGAAATGGGATAACAAATTTTTATGCAGTAATTCAAAGAGAATAGATGACTATGTGAAATTATGGAAAGAGACTTTGGATGGAGTGAGCTTTCTGGATGCGTCATATAGACCGGTTGGTAATTAATTTGGAATTGTTGGAATACAGATTGCTGGCACTACTATATGATTGAATGTTCTAATAAAGGATCTGAGTGGTATACCAAGATATTTTCATCTTGATCATGCTGAAATTCCATTATCACCACACGCATCAAATACTAAAGCTCTCATTAGCTTACTATTGACCTTAAGAAATATTATGGTCGTCAATAAGAGTTTACTAATACAGACATTAGAACAAGCTAATATTCATCCGCCAAAAATGTACACCCGAGTCCTACTGTTCCATCCCCACCTAGAGATGAACAGAAACAATCGAGAACTAAGAAGGTAAATGACATAAACTCTCCTTTGCATGAAGGTGGAAAATTACGGGAAAAAAATGGTCCAAAATTTTAGAGGCGATGTCAGCCGCCTTTGGGAAGTGCAAATACAGTATACAGTATGTATATCCTGTAATTTATTTTTATAGCAATAAAGCTAGCCCTCATGGCTAATTCAGCAATATGATTGACGTCTACCGAGATGTACATCATCAATTTTGATTGGATGATTGTGGTATATATAACGCACTTACTACAGTATTACAGTAACAGTTGCTCTCGAGTAAAACATCTGCTCTAGAGTTTTTACCTTAACGGCTCGTCGAATAGTATTGCTTTTGTTTTTTTTCTCCTCTATTAGTTAATACACCATGAACCATCGTAATCTTAGTAATTATATCATTCATTAAAGCCATCATGTTGGAGGAGGCACCAGTTAAGAAGACGAAGTTATTGTGATATGTTATAATAAAAAAAAAAGGTAAAAGTGTGAAAAGAATTAGGTAAAAATACCTCACAAACTGGAAATTAACATACTACCTGTTGCTACCCACCAATATCACTTGATATAATTTTTGATCGTCGAGGCATAAATCGTTGAATAATCTCAGAGAAAAGTTGGATTATAATAACAGAATAATAGTATAACACATATCACATATGCCCTAAACCTTTTGTATTTATGCGTGAACTTCTTGCTATCTTGTAACAGTATTTATACAATATCGTGTTCGGCTAAGTGTGACCAATAAAAACTACGCATTTTTTTTTCACTGTAAAGCCTGTCACATTCACTCTAACTTCATTCGGTCTGGATATTGACAGCTCAAATATGAGTGCATAGCTTTGCTGATAAAGTTCATCCATATGGACATAATGAATCGATCGTTTATAATTCAAAAAATACGTATACTTCTCTTGTGTTAATAATATACGTTTTAATTATCAAAATATACGCTTTCCTCTGGCTATTTAAATTGCTGCATCTTTATTATCAGAAAATGATATATTTATATTATTGTCATCATTATTTACTCAGGATAATAAACAAAAATTGAATTTTGTTACAGGTATACTATACACGTTTAAGTTGCAAAATTTTATAATAATCGACCACACTACAGTATTGAAATGGATTTAAATTGGTCAATTTACAGAACTTATACAACTGAAGAATGGACCGAATATTGCCAGATGCCACAAATTCATGTTGGTGAAACTCCTGAAAAGTGGAAACAAAGAATTTGTCCCCGTTTAACATATTTCAGAGAAAATGATCTTTTATCTATTAGAACTAAAAAATATTTCGATGCAAAAAAAATGATAAACTTTCAAAATGGTACCTCATATGCTTCTAATATAGGAATTGTCATTTGTTTATGATGCAACGAATTAATAAATACTGGAAAAATAAATAAAACTATAGAAAATCATTGGGAATCTACATGTACAAGTAATAAATATTGTGAACTTAAGTATAAAGATTTTTTGAAAAATAAACATAAACCCGAATCTGATTATACATTTGATGATATGCATACATTGCATTATTATGAATTATGGATGTCAAATGCAATCAAAAGACTTAAACGCGCAAGAGAAGTAGGGAAAAAGATGCGATCATGTGTCATCATCCAACATAAATGGATAGAATTCATGTATCATCCTAATAGTTTAATGGTCAAGCAATTAGCTAAACATTACAAACTTTTATGGACCATTTGTGAAGACATACACCCCCAGCAATCTCAGATAAGTCGAAGGCTTGAAGCTTTGCTTCTTCTTTTGCTTGGCCATATGGCTGAGTAATGTCAGAATTTACAAAATTTTACGTGATTATACCAAGAGCAGAAAAAATACTTGCATCTATAATTTTAATTTTAATTATTTAATTCTAACAGTGTATCCCAACCTTTGCGAATATAAAGAACATCCTCTTTAGTTCTGGTTAAATCGATTACAATAAATTCTCGACCTTACAAATTTTAATCAATTATATCAATAGCATTATGCCATTTTTTTGTATACCACCTAACAATATCAACCAGTTCATCATATGTGCCTGCT